CAAGCCACGACACTGTAAACTGCACGACAATCTGTCGTCACGACATAATGGGATCTCGCTAATATGATTTTTCGATTAAAATATTTTTAATGTAGTTTCTAAACTTAGGAAATGATAAACTTAATATATGCTCCGGAATCTTATTGTAAAAACGTATACAGTTCTCCATAAAAGAGTTGTTTACCTTGGCTAAACGAAATCGTGGTACCATGAGTTTGGACTTAGCTCTAAGGATAATATTATGGATATCTTCTTTCTTATTGAAATTATGTATATTTTTGCTGGCATAAAATATTTGAGTAAATGTACTGTGATGCCACAGTCATGATACCAGTCTCCTTAAACTTTTCTCTGAGAGAAACCCGAGAGCCTAGACGGTACACAGAACGAATCGCTCGTTTTTGCAATACAAATATGGTTTGAATATCTGCCACTTTACCCCACATGAGAATCCCGTAGGAATATTATACTATGGAAGTGACTAAAGTAAACTAGTCTAGCAGTACTAACATCGGTAAGCTCATGTATTCTGCGGACTGCGTATGCAGCGGAGCTTAATCTGCTGGCCAGGAAGATATTGTGGAAACCATTGAAGTTTACTATCTAAGGTCACTCCCAAGAAGACTGCTTTATTAACAAGGTCTAACTTTTCTCCGTTTATTTCTATTCTTGGTCTAGTCGATTTTACGTTAGGTAATTCAAATTTAACACATTTTGTCTTCTTGGCATTAAGGAATAAATAAAATTGTTAGCATTAAATCAATAAACTACCTTAGAGAGGGTATCATCAATATGGTCATAGTTAATGTCATGACAGTTAAGATCTACCCATTATGACATCTTTCATTCGGCTCCTGCGTCCTGATGTTGATTCAAACCGGAATAGAACCCATAGGGTAGTCTCGAAATCAGATGGTTTTCCGAGCGAGAAGATGAATCTGATTCCTACTATATCTTTCTAATTTGTGAGTTAAATCAACTATTGTCCCGATTAGAAATGTCAAAAGTTTCCGATCGGGCAGTTGTGAGTCGCAATTATGCGCCTCGACTCGGAAGAGACGCAGTTTCCGATCGGGAGAGGCGATCAAAATCAAGCTGCTGATCGGTAGTATCACAAGAGTGAGAGATAGAGTAGCCTGCCACTTTTTATAATTTAATTTATATACAACTTTTTGTACTATTTATTACCTATTATTACCATTAGCCTAATCTTTAAGTTATTTTTGTAATTTATTAATAACATTGGACCTTAAAAAAGTAGTTGTGTGAATAAATTATTATAATATTATTTTATCAGTACCACAAATAGGTATTCATATTCATATATATAGTGCTTGCCACGTGAATTCACATAAGATGTTATAAAATGTAATACAGTAGTCACACATGTTAAGAGCGCGGGCGCCGCAATTCAGGAGAGCACTACAAATTATTAATTACAAATATAAATAACTCTACAAATTATTAATTATAAATATTTCCTTGTAACATAAGTAAGTATTTATTTAGTATATATTTAGTTTAAGTATTTATTATTTATGAGCTAATCTATTTAATGACTAGGAAAATGGCACTAAACTTTTATTAAATATTTTGAACAGCGTGCAGTTAGGCATTAATGTGGTGTTGGGCTTGTCTGTTTGTGTGTGTGGTGTTGTATGCAGCAAATACCAAACGGCTACTGTGCATGAAATCATGGTAAAGTTCACCCTAGCGGTGAGACCTCAAGAGTCGTTCTAATGAATTTATCTAATAGTGTAGCCCTACAACCTAACGGTGTGTAGTCCAACCTAACCGTAAATATATAGACGGAGAAATACGTATGCAAGATATGAACGGGAAGTCTGTCACCATGAGACCTAAGGTGACAAACGGAAGGTTGAAAGGAGATAAGGAAGTACACGTCGTGCAATGTGTATTGGAATGGTATTCTCACTGCCGGTCAAGCAGACTCACGAGACCGATCTATTGACGGCTAAGGGTATCTTGGCCGCAGTGAGAGGAGTAGCAGGTAGTACTAAGCAGGATGATGAGTTTGATGAGCTAAATCAGATGGTAGTGGATAACTGAGTATATATATATAAATCTTATTTCTATTTATACAATATTTATGACTAATACATAATGATAGGTTTTTCTTAGTGTGCTATGTGTATTATTTGCCGACGAAGCTCTTTTCTGTTATGTAGTTAATTATGTTACTATGTTGCATTTGTTGCCTGATGATGAGGCCATTTTTTGTGACAGTTTAAATATATGTTACGATGTTGCGTTTTGTTGTTAAATACACGATGTTCTAAGTTCAACATATTTCGTCTCATTTATAAAAGGTACTTTTTTAGATGGTGGATAGAATAAAGGTCGATAATTTTTCTTGGTTTTTATCTCATTTGGAATGCTATTATAACTTTGAATTGCGATTGAGTGTGGGCCGGATTTGTACAGACTGAGAGTAACTAGTTGCGGGAAGTTATAATTTATGTAAGTGTCTCTTGTTTCTTTTTATTGTTGTATTTGGGCAATTTAAGTGCATATGCTTTTTGACGAATATACAGCAGTCAAGAATGTATATCGATGTCAATATTAATATTTTATGTTTAATGAAATATGGTTTACACGAATCGGTATGTTTGATATTAGCTAATATTCTTATACATTATTTTTGTAACACAAAGATATCCTGTACTATGGTGCAATTTCCCCACATTACCTACTATTTCGTAAGCGAGTTTTGAGTGAATGAACGCGTAATAAGCCCTTGCAGGGCGGTTTTACAGTCAGTAGTTTTTTTCAGTATTGATCGCTGCATGCCTGATTTACCTTCGAACTACTGACCAAGTTAGTTGATCTGAGATTTATCATTGACTGAAACGCAGCCTCAAACAATATTAGATAATTAGTATAAATAAAAAGAAGAAAGTCAAGGTTACTAAATACACAGATTTATTTGAGTACATGACGTCATAAGTACCTATGGACATTTTACGACGGCCTCGTTTAATATTAAAGGAAAACGTTTCAGAACTGCTCAGCAATTGGAAGATGTCCTAAGAAAATGGCAAGTTTTTGTAATTACAGTTTTTCACAAATTAATTTAGCTTAAGTATTATTACGTTTTGAGTTTCTTAACTGTTTATTGCTTGTTTAATCCGATGGCTGTCAATGCTCAACAAACAATAATAAATAATCCCAGGGCATTATGAACGATACCATATACACTACTTGTACTCTACCCAATAAAAAAAACAAAGGCGGGAAAAAATATTCGTTAACTTTGAAACACGCTACTGAAATTTTTGTTCGTTAAAATGGATTTGAATTGCCAACTTTTGCTATATTTGGATAAAAAGCATATCTTATCAAACATGAAAAGTGCATGCCTACAACACATAGACGATTCCAATAACAATACAGTTGCAAAATTTCGACCATGCAGATTTTTACTAGAGCTCGATGTAATGGATTTGTTGGAATTTTCGCCTACCGTTGGGCATCTTTTACTGCGAGAGCCGATGAAATGGCAGAGGATATGTAACGAGATTCTGTATGCTTGTCTTCAATCTATAGACGAATATAAAAATGAACCTGCGGATCCCGCTCAAGCGGTTGTTAATTTGCGACCGACATGCGTACCACATGTTGTTGTTGCTCGCAATCAACGACATTACGACGGCTTAAAATCTTATTACGGCATATTACTGGCAGTTTCAAAACCTACTAGCTACGTGTTTCATACGGTGTGGTCATGCCCCGAGGAGTGCGAAGGTAATGAAGTTATTTTACATTCTATACCTAAAGTTCCTCCGAAATGCAGCGTTTGCAAATGTGTGCTCTTCGAGAACAGTGGCTTGAGGCAATGCGGGGAACAGGTCAATGCGACATTCAAATTAAGGAATAATATGTTTCTGAAGCATTTTCGGATCATCGACGATTTAATACCAAAATTGAAGCTCGGCAAAAAATACAACATATTGGCAATTTCTGCTAAGAAAACTATTATGGTATGGTCTTTGGAAGAAGTTATGCCTTTGGTTGCACCTATCACTGCTCCAATACCTACGGATATCGATGATCTGTACAAAGCATGTAAGGGCATATCGTGGCAGTTCATTTATTGCCTGGCATCCAGCATCGGAGTCAACGTTTGTCCTTTGCATTGTTTTATGCACATCAAGATCAACTTGCTTTTGAGTTTAATAAGCATTAAAGCCAACGCAATGACTGGTTCGACCATCATTCACGTCCTTGTAACTGGCTACGATACTGGATACGTAGCACGACTCATGGAAGAAGGGGCGAAATTGGCCGATAGCTCCGTATTCCTGGGAACGTCAAACACAACGGTGTCCGTCGCGCTTATTGGAAGTTCTGGAGGTGTCTGTGCAATGCCTTTGCCATTTCACGTTTACAACCAGAAACAGACTTCTTTCGTTTTGTCGTCAATTGAAACTGGGGAAATTTCTAGCGACATAGGAAACACTAAACTTCAGTGCGCTGTTTGGGCGCAGGGGATGGATTTTAAGAAGATGATTATATTGAATGTAGCCAGTGTATTCGGCACTATTTGCCGAGGAGACTACGGAGAACATACAGATGAAATCGTTGACTTTATTCTACTAAATGCAGTTGAACCCCCGAAAACTACCAAAGAAGAAATTCACGCACTAAAGGATATTAAAGATTACATAGATTTGATATCAGGCACAGGTGTTTCCTTAGATGTGAAATCGGAGTCGTTGCTGAGGAATTACTACCTGGCTGCTCGCAGGGAGAAACCTAAGGCAGTCACTATGGGCAGTATAGGATCGCTGGTAGCGACTTGTCTTACTTCAGCTAGACTTTGCCGGCGAACAAGTACAAACACGGACGACGCAGTGTTCGCGATTTGGCTTCACGTTTGCGGGAGTCCAGAACCAAGATTTGCTCCGGAAGAATACCTTCAAACTCCAGCTAATATGAAGAAATTGCACAAGATGATGAATAACTTCCAAAACTGGTTGGAACAATTCACCGGAAATGTCATTAATGAATCAGACAATACCTCTGATTAATATCTGTATATTTGATAAGCAATCTAATTAATAGTTTGTTTGTAAAATACAAGTCAAGTAAAACGAGATAATAGATTTATTTTAATATCTTATACTCATACATCATTATTTCTATATATTAGCACCAAAAACCATGTAGATAATTACTAAATTTCTGCAATTTTTGGATGTTTTTCTGAAAGCAGAGTCCTATCAATTATTATGTATTTAATTTTGGAATTATTATTATTATTATGATATGATTAGGACTAGAACACACATCTATCAATTGTTAGTAAAAATGTCTAAGACATTCATTACAGTATATTTTCACTTTCTATCATATGTGGTCATATTTTGATAGACATAATTTAACAACTAAAACATAATTTGTGTGTTTTGAGTACATTGCACCATTATCCAAATCACAGAATAGGCAGAAACAATTTGTTTCAACTTTAATATGGTAAAAAAAATTTATAACATCAATATAACAACATTGTAAGTGTCATATAAAATGCAATAGAAAACTTTATACTTAATTAAACATAACATTATATTAATTTTCATTCAAAAAACTAAAATCGTAAGAAACATTATCCCACATTTTCTTTTGTATATTTAGCTTTTCATTTAAACTAGATTGATTTTTCCTTATTTTCAAACTTTCTTCTACAAGAGATCTCAATCTTTCGTCTTCATTAACTCTGTTTGATACCTTGATACAATCCTTTGACACTGAATCTCCTATTTTAAATTCTTTCTTTTGTATTGAGATAACACTGTATGGTAGTTCTCCCACATTTTCAGCATCTGAAGCTAGAATGCTCAAAGTGGACCAAGTGCAGTTTGTGAGTTCACTACTGAGAGTGATGAGGTCGTTTGACAACTTCTCAGTATTCTCTGAAGTAGTTGCAATGATGTCTGCAATTTTAGCAAACTCCATACTCAAATGCATGAATTTCTGTATAAATGGTTGTCGATTCAATTCAAGTAGGATTTTGCTTCTAAGTTTTAAACATTCATAGCAAATTTTCATGATATCCTGGCATTGTCTCTGTTCTCTTCTAGTTTCACTACAGAATTCGCTTCGCTTGTAAGTTATAAATGTCTTCATGGCTTGTGTGAATACGGCTTGATAGTTGTATTTAGATACAAAGTTATTGAGCTCTGAATGTAGAGCCTCATTGCTACGTCTCGCTGCAGACTGAAGCCGCACTGACACCTGGGACCAAGCAGTCTGCAGTTTACTGATTTTATCAGATAGATCATCTGCAAGATTGAATATCTTCTCAAATCCTCCTAAATAATTTGTACCAACTCCAGATTCTCTAATGTTCTGAATGTGTTTCTTCCCGATTTCAGCATTCTTTATAATGATTTCTTGCTGAGCCAGCAATTTGGCAATACTTTTATCAATCAAATTATGTTTCAACAGTAGCTGTTTGCTTTCATGCTTCAAGGACTCCCCTCTAGCAAACAAGCCTTGTATGAGTGAGTCATACACTTCTATTTGCGTCATTACAAAGTAGAGGCCATTCCGGTACAAGTTCTGGCTGTTTTTGTAATTATACAAGGTCTTAGGGTGTTCAAGACATCTCTGGACAGCCTTTGGTACAACTGGTTCAACCTGTTCATTGATACAGTTAGTTTTGTTGAATAAGTACAACATGATGTTGCAGTTCTCATTCCAATATTTAACAACTGGCTCATTATTATCAATATCAACATATGTTGTTTGTGATATTAACATTTGATCTTGCATGGGTATTTTCGTGTCTTTCTGAAGCCAACTTTTAACAGTGGCAATTGTGGTTTGTTCATCAATTTCATAGGCATGCTGTGACAAAGATACCATTGAAAATATTTTGATGATTTTAGAGGACAATATTTTTTCTAAACGACTGAAAAACACAATGTTACTGGTTGCTGCTTTTTGTTCTGATGGTATATCAAAAGTGACCTTAGACGGAGCATCTCTCCCTCTCAGTTTGGGATCCCATTCAAGAGCTACTCTTAGCCAATTTTCAATAGAAGCCTTGAAGGCCTTAGAAATGTGGTTTTCGGGGAATATTTCATTTGAATATTCAATATCACCATGAAAAGTTTCAAATACACAGATATTTTCATGCGCCTTTTTCTTTACTTCTGGCATCCACTGCACAGGGGACATGAATGGAAGGAATGGTCTTGTTCCACATATTATTTCAAATGCTAGCAATCCAAAGGACCAGTAATCCACAGAGTTGCTATATGTTTTGCTATACATAATCTCTGGGGCGAGGTACTGCAACGTGCCTACAAAACTGGCACATACTGACTTGGAATCTATTTCCTTAGCATAGCCAAGGTCAATGAGCTTGCAGGTCAACTTTTTTTGATTCTGGCCAATGACGGGGGAAGAGTCTGGGACATGCAAAACGATATTCTCGGGCTTGAGGTCACGGTGCGTGATCTTGTTGAGATGCAGGAACTTTATCGCGTTACAGATGTCGCTCAGGATTTGTCGCACCTGTACTTCTTTGAGCCCTGCACAAGATTCCGGCTTGGTGAGCAGCTGTCTCAAGTCGCCGCCACTACAGTACTCCATGCAAAGGATAGGAAGTTTGGACGGATTGACTTTCTCGAGACCTTTCAAGAATTCCTCTGGTAACTCTTTTGTTCCCACTATGTTGGGATGTGTGCAAGTCTGCAGCATTTCCACCTCCTTGGTCCATCTCTCCTTGTGCTTGGTGGTCAGTTCATCTCCCCATTTGCAAGTTTTTATAGCAAGTCTCTCGTCGATATTTTTGTGTTTCCATAATACCACTGTGCCGAAGCTCCCAGACCCCAGCACCCTGTCTTTCACCCAATCCCCAATAAACACTATTTCGTCCATTTCTACAACTTTAAACAATTCTGCTCTACTTTTACATGGCTCGAATTAACTTCACCACACGAAATCTACAAAAATAACCCAAATTGTTACATTTAGATTACAGCTCTTCTCCACTCCACCCTTCCCCCTCGTGACTGTCAAACAAAGATTTTTTTTTGCTTTTCGCGGTCAGCATTGAAGCCAAGACATGACAAGTTATTAATTAACTTTATTTACGAAAAAAAAATAAACCGCTTTCGTATGTTATGGAATTTAGGATATGGATATAAGAAAAAAACGGAATTGGATAAGAATTTGGAAAAGAAAAGAATAATCATTAATCAATAATCAAACAATGTTCAATTTCGCAAGGTATATTACAAACATGACCCAACCGCATATGAATCGAAACTTGACAACACGAGAACATTTTCGATTCCTTTTCTTTTTGGGAAATTTGTTTGGTAATCTTCCAAATTTTCACATTTTAAAAATTGTTGAAAAATTGGGATATACCTATTGGACCAATATAATTCAAAGGCTCGTTTTATTTTCTTCGTTTAGAAATATCTTACGAAGTTATATGTAGCGTGAATTATAATATGAAATAAAACTGTATAGTTAAAAGCAAGTAAAGAACAAAATGAGATTTAAAATTCTTGGACATCAGCAGCAACAGCGGAAAAAAACTATTATTATAATGGCTCCATCCTATCGTTTTCATTTCGTTCAATAACTTCAACACGTGACAGGTGTCAACGTCAAATGTGGAAACATGAGAAATCATTATTTTTTTCCATCCTCTAAGGGAAAAACAATCATTTATTGTTATTTTTATTTATTTCTTGAGCATTGGCTATAGAGTCATTAGTTTAAACCATTGACTTTAAACAAATAATTAAAAAACTCAAAACGTATTACATAAATAGATAAAAATTAATTTAAATAGAGTACACACTCACTCAAAATAGGGAAACCCTGGGTCGCGGTTGCCATGGATATACACGTAACAACCACAAATTACACGCAAACTCACGAGAGAAATAAATGTAGGCCTTAAAAATATTTCTTCAGACTCGGGAACAAACTCCTTGTGAGTATAGTGTTCTGTGCTCGGGAATCGAACCTGGGACCTCGACATGGTAACCGTTCGGTCACGGAGGCAGTTTGTCCGGAAAAATATTTTTTTTTTTTCTAAAAAATTTATTATTTTTTCAAAATGGAAATGTTTTCCAACTAACTGTACCTAATCTCCAATGGGTAAAAGCAAAAATATTACGTTATTCCGTTCGACTAGGAAATTTCTTTGAAAAATGCACACTATTTTTCAAAATAAGGTTTTTTTTTAATAAACATTATTATTAAGACAAGATTGACAAATGTTGCTTGCATCAACACCATGTATTTGTATCGCAGATTATCGATGGGTTAATTAAGTATAAAAATACAGGTCATCCAATTACCACATACCGCACTCTCAATAATAAAGTGATGAAGCCGAAAAGTAATTTTTGGGGGTACATACCTTCAAAATAAATACCTACATAAAAATTATGTACATGCACCGTGCATGATACATAATATGTATATCTGCCATATACACATTTTAACGTTTTAAGTATGTTTTAATTTCGTAAGACAGGAACGATTTAGATATCATTAGAGATAAACATTGACTTATTTTTTGTAAGTCAATGGAGGGAAAGCACGTTTTAACTGGTATTGGTAAACGACATGATCTCTGCCATTATTGCTGACAAGCCCGTGTCACTGGCGCCAGCTTAGAGGATGGAAAAATAGTTTCCATAGTCTAAGGGCGCCAGTGACTGTTTCAGTGTCAACAGCCATTAAACGTCATTCGTTAAATAATGCTACTGGACGAAAACAAGAAAATGACAGCGGAAAAAAAACAAATTGAATTTGTTTCATTTTATAGGGTTTCTAGGTAAATTCTGTGCGTTGTCGACGTTTAAACAAGCTGTGTAAAAGTTGAAAAGAGATTGTGTAAATGGGCGAAAATGCTGCAGGTCGCCACGTCTTGTCGGACATGCATGATAGGCAGTTTGAATTTAGTCGATCTCTTCCGGACGGTGAAGCTCGAAGACGAGCAAAGCGCGCAGCTGGCCGAGATGCTCATGGAATGCACCGACACACGCGTACGTAAAAAATTCTTTACCTGACTTTGTTACAAGCGTTCATGAATCTTTAGTAGCAATACTTATCTCTGTTGTTGAAAGAATTCAATGTGGCTGATGAATGATGATGATACTTAAAGTTGAATAAGATTAAACTTTTGCGATATATGACATTCTCAACACGCATTAGGCCAGAGTGACGGAATATGGCCTATGCCCCTTCTCAAAGAAGACCCAAACCCAGCAATGGGCAGCATAAATGTCATTAAAATTAAGCAAGAGCCTTTGTTTTTGTTGGTCAAAAACAACAAACTTTTTCTCTCATTCACAGATTTTTGTGTTACAGCATGTGTATGCTCTTATGAGGTATCTAAAAGGTGTAGAAAATTAATTTAATATTATGACCTTCTTAGTGTAACGGGCTGGTGTCCACAACTCAATGTTGTGGTGTATTTTGCATGTGGTGGGTGCAGGCTCCTACTCATGCCACCAGGAATCACAGCAACATTATGATCTATTTTGGTGTAAATACATCTTTGCAGGTATTACGAGGCGATGGGTTGCCTCAGCAAGTTTGTGAACAATGTGCCAACACAATTCACATTTCATACGCATTCCGTCATCAGGCAAAGAGAGTGGAGACTGAGCTCCACAGGATTATCTTAGAACAAACCACTGTTAAAGATGAAAAAATTGACATTGTTGAAAACAGTTTTTTTGACAATGCACACAATGATCAACAAGACTATGAACCCTACGATCCTGTATCACCGAAGCAGGAGCCAGAAACAAATGAGCATGAGTCGAAAACATTTGAGTGTAATTTTTGTAAAAAGCGATTCAATGACAAAAAAAAGTATTTGAAACATCTAACCTCACATGAACCTAAAGTAACTTGTAGAATTTGTAATAAAGCATTTAAAAAGAAATTATCACTGGAGAAGCACATGGTTAAGCATATGAGTAGTCACATGTGTTTGGTTTGTAATGAAGAATTTAAATCACAGGTACTTTTAATGCAGCACATGGTAATACATCCTGAAATGAAGCAAGAAGCAGATGTAAACTTATTTAAATGCAGTGTATGTGGATTAGGATTTAGTAAAAGCAGATCTTTAGGGCAACATATGAAGAAACACAAGAAAAACAAACTGTTTGAGGCATTTATTTGTGAATACTGCAACAAGGAGTTCACAGGGAAAAACAGCTTACGAAGACATATCAAGTTGCACATACAGGACCGTCCATACTGCTGTACAAAATGCCCAAAGAAGTATCCCCGGCAGGACCAGCTGGCTGATCATTTGAAGAAACATGCTGATGTCAAACCTAATGTCTGTCCATATTGCAATAAAGGTAAGCACATTTTTTATTAGCTTTTCATGGCTTGTATTAATATAACAGTGTCTGGAATGAACAATACAATAACTGAATAAAATTAAAAACTGAAACAATGTATTTTTTAGGTTCAATAGGTAGTAGTTCTGAATAGAATCTGGATTTTTTTCGGAACGTTTGATCTTTGTATTAATAATTATAACAAACTAGTGGAGTAATTTGACATAAAAAAATAATTGAATATCAATACAATAAAAATTTGAAACAATATATTTTATTTTGAATTATATTTACTAATTGTTAGTATTCCAGAGCATTTTGTCTTAGTAAAACTAAGCAAATTGTATTCAAGTTGATTTAGCAAATATACTCCTGGACATATAATTCGAGCCAACTCGCATTTTTGTCGTAAAGGGCTACAATACAAAAATAGTGCTATCATCGAAGAAAAAGTTTGCCCCCGGTTTTGCGAATCCCAATTCGCAACAAGGACTTATGGAAAAGACGTTTATTATACTATTTTCAAAATTGCATAATAGTTTTTGGTCACTCACACATTGTTTAAGCTTAGGAGGGCACTTAATACTGAAAATGCGTGGTGGCTCGAATGATGTGTCCAAAAGTGTATTATGTTCCTATGTGTAAATTAGCTATTGATTGGTGTTGGCAGGGTTCACACAGCTGTGCAGCCTGAAGGACCACATCCGCACGCACACAGGCGAGACACCGTTCCTTTGCGCGCAGTGTGGCAAGGGCTTCGCCAACAACTCTAACTTGCGTCAACATATGATGCGCCACACAGGACTCAAGCCCTTCCACTGCACACTCTGTCCTAAAACTTTTGCCACCAAAGGTACGATTTTGTGCGCCAATGTATACAAGATATTTATACATTTTTCAAAGTGGGGTTAGTAATTTAACAAACAATCCTCAGATTAGTAACTAATAAAAGAGTAAAAATAACAATTTATTTTGACCTTTACACTGGAAATTCACGATTATGAAACTCCTTCAGAGAGAATATTGAATTTTGAGAAGAGTTGCAATATGTGGTGTCCATCCCCCGTAGTATGGCTACGCATAGCAGTTTCAATTGTATCGCGCGCGTCGCGACTATCATGCGTAACCATGCTACGGGGGCTCAATGTGTAAAGAAAACGCGTCAGGTGTATTAAAGAAGTACCTGTCGGTAGGCCAGCTGACGGTGCACGTGTCCACGCACTCGGGCGCGCACCCGTTCGCGTGCGCGCAGTGCGGCGCCGCCTTCACCAAGCCCAATTCGCTCAAGAAGCACGCCATGATCCACCTCGGGTTGAGGCCCTTCGCTTGCGATTCCTGCGCCATGCGGTCTGTATTCACACACACACAACACACACACACACACACACATACACACTTACGTACCTATATAAATTTTGTTTATATTACTAGCATTTTACTCTCTAGTTAAGATTTATTTATGTTCTTTTTATAGTTTGCTACTTACTGTTTTGCTATCCCTTTACCCATAGTCGTCTTGTTTTATCGACCGGAGGTTTAATTCCGGGTGTTGGAGGCCAGGTGACTCATAGCACAGGTCTAACCTAGTTTGGGCTCCTGTCTCCGAACCTCTCACTTATATTGTATTACCTATATCTTGTACTTGTTCGGAGAAAAATAAACGATTTTATTATTATTAATATTCACCTTTTTTATTATTATAATATCAAGTGACGGGACGAACAAGTCGTGCGCCTGATGGTAAGCTACACGCCTGTTCATAACAGTTGCAGTACCACTCAGAGCTTTAAATGGCAAAGATCTGAGGGGCACTGCCACTGCGCCCGTCAACATGTGCCTGTCATTTCACCAACACCCTTACCCTTCTAAATTGGAATGCAGTAATGCTAACATTATTGCTTGGCGGCAGATATAGGTAAGTTGGCAGTACTTCCCTGGATGAACTCTTCCACAAGAACCTAACCGGGGCTCTGCCGTGTGTTACGGCTAGTACTCTAACAAGACGTTTATCTGCTTGCAGTTTCACATGCAAAGACCATCTCAAGCGGCACCAGCGTATCCACACGGGCGAGAAGCCGTACCGTTGCCGTCACTGTGAAAGAGCCTTCACGCAGAGCAACGACCTGGTCAAACATCTCCGCACTCATATTGGACAGAACATCTACCAGTCAGTATCCGAAGTTCTATAATTCTGCGTATACTTGAGTTGTCAATAAAGTATACGAATGAGACGCTGTTTTACATTTTTTGCACCTTCCATGCGTAAACAAACACAAATTGTTACAGATGCACAGTCTGCAACGCTCGGTTCCGCCTACAAAGTGAATTAAAACAACATTATCCCTCGCACTACATCAACGGCGATGCTGAGGCGGCTGCAGTCGCCGAAAAGTCCCTCGAGTCCGACCCGGTCGCAGCCGTCCTCAAGCTCGAAGAAAAGCCACAAAACGACGAAAAAGTCTTTGACAGAACTATTACTATAACGTTCAATGGGAACGTGCTCAACAAGAACGGGATTACCGGTGACATTACTATCAATATCGATCCCGACAGAAGCTGATCTGTGATATTCAAAACTTTATAGTATTCATTGGTTATAAATATAAAGCTGAATTGTATAACGGCAAATTCAAGTTACATCGACTGCCGCTCAATCAGCCTTAATATATTGCAATTCAGAAACAAAACTTACTGAATGGTCAAACTGTATAATAAGTAGCTGGTCTCAGAATATCATAATGTGGTTACACATAATGTAGAAATAAGCGGAATGATCTGATCATGTACAAAGGAGAATGTAAATTGTATTTAAAGCTAGAGGTAAATTTATTTAATTTGATGTACCTATATATTTGGAAAATATTTAAAATAGGTGCCTTATTTATGAAAGCGATTATTGCAAGAAATACATAGATTTAGACTTAGGTGCATAGATTTTAGATTTATTGTAGTGACCATCGTTATGGTTACGTCAGTGGGTGGATAGATTTACACGAAAACTTTGTTATGTATAAATTTGTGCGTGATAGACGCGCTTAAGTATTTGGCTTTGCAAATCGTCAATTGTCATTAAAGACTTAATTGTCATGCATATATCCGCAAGTGATGTTTAGAGCGACACAATGCTGTTTCATATAATAACATGTAATATAAACAAATCAATAATAAATGCGCCAGGCAAAAAGGTTCTTTAGGGTGAGACGCGACTTGTCGGCGCTCGTTGGCACTGCTGAAACGTGAAGATCAGTACTGCATAATATGTTGAAGAAGCTCTCCTAATTTGCAATGAACACTACGCCAACTTAAACTTTATTTGTTTTTTGTGTTTTTTTCACAAAATCGGTTTTTTTTTTCGAATTTCATTTTTTGGTTCTTTATTTTTTTTTCAACAAAATTCGGGGCGCATAATATTAGTAAATACTGGCTGTTTATAAAAATAACAGTAAAAAACTGAACAAAAAATAAAGTTGGCATAGTGTTCATTGGAAATATCGATTTGTCTTTTCAATTTAGTATACATATTATATCAATTATTTATTTTACGAATTAATTATCTCTGTATTAATTATAAGGTAAATATTCGGTTTAAAATCGTATGTTCGTTTATATTATTTATTATTGCAATGACTAAATGCTTTAATAAAAGAGTACTATAATGATACACAATTATTTGTGATGTTTTATCAAAACACGAGTTTATTTATTTATTTTTATTAAACCACATCATTTACGTTGCTCTGATCCCAAAGTAGGTAGCCAAAGCACTTGTGTTAATGGAAATCGCAAACAACGACGGTACCACAAACACCCAGACTGCAGACAATATAGAAAAATTAGTTCTATATGACCCGACCGGGAATCGAACGCGGGATCTCAGAGATACCATGAAAACCGATGCGCAAGATGCTCTGCCACAGGTTGTCAAAATGTTATAGATCGGAGGGACCGAGTTATGCTTCCCTCAAACTGTCCTGATTTGATGACGCGTTTTTGACGGGATTGAGTGAGCACCTTTTAGAGACCTGTGCCCCTCAGACACCATAATATGCGTTACAGTAATAATTTTTTAACTTTTCCATACCTATTTTAAATCTAAGCCAGTACTTAAATAAATCCTTTATTCTAAGTGAACACTATATAGGCGTTTAATTAAAATTCAGCTCTTCCAAAGCCGAAAGAAGACTCATCCAATTTAATTCCAATCAAAATTAAAACAATTCACGATTCCTTATATTTTTATTTGTGAATACAAAAATAATTCATTATCAATCTTTTTAAACTTCATTTAGTACATTGTAAAGGACAATGACCGTAAGTCTATATTATTTTAATTTTCTTTTACATCGCGTTCGTTCTTCGTTCATTCACTTTACGTACCTAATTTATCAAAACAATTTAAAAAATGTGATATTCTTACAAGTATTAAATACGTCAATGTATCAAACAATATTCGGTTAAAAGTTTGTTATTATTGTATTTCTTTATCTATGCATATTAATTGTATCATTTGAGCTTGAAATATTCCGTCTTAGGAGATATTGCGTTTAGTATGGTTTCCAGGGTGTAAGGGCTTTCTGCAAACAGAATGCATTAAAAAATGTACTGCTTTATTATGAAACTGTTAAATATTTGTTCTAACTTTTTAGTGGGCAAAGAAATGTGAAGCGAGACGGAAACGGGAGAATACGAGAGGCGTCGACATACCTGACCGCCGACGTAGGTTCACAAGCGAACGTAGAGGGAAATTCCAAAAAGAGTAGGGTGTCCTCCAAAATGTCAGGTCAAAAGCACAAATGGAAGTCTACGAAAAGTTGCTGGGGTGCGAACGAAAGACGTACGAGTGTAATCTACTTCTTTACAACTGTACGTGTACATGATGAAACTATATATGTAAGCTCACGTATGTGCAGCCACTCGTCGTCCACGTAGCCAAACTCCTTCCTGGCCTCGAGGATGGTGTGGTGCAGCGCCAGCGCCACGGCCACCGCCAGCACCAGGGCCGGCTCGCCCGTCGCTGCAACGACACCGCACGCTGCCATCTAGGCTTCTGGGTGCAACCGGAAGGCCAGAACAGCCAGATCACGTACCCTTGGAGCCCAGCACCCCCGCAGCGTTGCGCGAGTTGCGGCGGAAAGCCACGCGCAGGTCGCGCGGGATGTCCTGCGCGCCCGGCGGCTTGTACAGCCACGAGCTGTCCGTCAGCAGCCGGCCCGACGCGGGCTCATGCACCAGGTGCTCCGACGTCCACAGGCCCAGCCCCATCACGAACGCGCCTTCCACCTGCGAGACCCGAGCGTTTCCGAGCGGGGACTGAGCCAGCGGAAAGTGCCTACTTGTGACGCAATTTCGACTTCACTCCGCTACCATAGTCCCTGGTCTTGTTTAGTACAAATTGCACTAATGAAGTGACCAAATTCCAAAAAGTTATTACGTTCATTGGATGTTTCACTACCATGGTATTCAATTATTTTTTGTGAAAGTACGTTTGTTATAATTATTAAACAAAAATTGACACTTAGAAAAAAATCACTTCGATCTGGTTGATTTCCAACCAACGTCTTCCCGCAGACCGTGCCGGACCAACCGGATCGAAGTGACTTTTCTCTAAGTGTTCGATATTTGTTTAATAATTATTTCAAAACGCGATTTTTAGAAAACTGACAAAACAGATTTAAAAAAAGTTACGCGGCACCGGCCGTTACCGTATACCGTTTGACGACTGCCAAATATGATAAAATCACCTTATTTCACCTACCACTGGCTTTCCGTAGACTATGCGCTAATCGCACCCATCTACGACGACGTCGTTTTCTCGCTGTAGCGTGTACATTGTGTAGTTTTGTTCCCTACGCCTTTTACACTTATTTTGTCAGTTTACCAAAAATTAGTTTTTCAATTTCTTCACTTTATTACTGAGAGTGCGAAATATCAATTAAATTTGAATATACGTAACCTCAGTACAGAGTGAGTACAATTATATATATTTGTCAAGTTTTATTGCAATCACTTATGGAAAGGGGGCGAAACCGAATTCATTCCCTAGTTTGCCATCCTTAGAGAAAGAAAGCATCAAATTTAAATGGGACCACTACTGATGTACCCTTTTTCTAACAAAAAATAATCATCAAAATTCAAAACAAACAAAAAAATACAGTCGAATTGAGAATCTTCTTTTTTGAAGTCGGTTAAAAATTAGACTTACATCTTCCCGTTTACGACTGTACCGTTTCGTGATAGATTCACCGGCAAGGCTGCTAACAGGTCGACTGAATGTTTGCAATTAATGCGTCAAGTCGTCGTCAACGGAGTTGATAGAGACTTTACGTATTAACTGTAAAGACGTAGTCGATCTGTTAGCAGCCGAACACGACGCGACCGCTCCGTCCCGCGAGGACGTACCTGCCCCACGTCGATGTCCGGGTTGAGGCTGAAGCCCGTGTCCTCGAAGATGTCCGCGCGCCGCACCACGTGCTGCCCCGTCAGCACGTCCAGCTCCACCTCCAGGCAGCACGCGCCGTACACGCTGTAGGGCTTCAGCTTGTCCACACTCGGGTGCGTCGTGTAGCTCGCTTGCAGGTCGACGCCTGTGCACCGTGACGACCGGGTTCAGCACTGGCCGATGGGTCGTTCCCGTCGTCGGAGACGACGGCACCCACCCGCTTTGTACGCTTCTTTCACGACGCATTTCCACGTCATGCCGTCCTTCCGGAACGGGTCCAGCCGCCGCTTGAGCTCCTTGCAGGCTTGCATGGTGGCGAAGGCGACGGTCTCGCTCGTGGAGCTGCCGCTGGTCACCATCGCGTTGGGCGACGTGAACGTGTCGGTGCCTTGCGACGACACATTAAACCAGAATAAATTAGGCAGTTCTTGCCCGGCGATTTGTACGGACAGCGTGCGATGCCGTGAGCGTCGCGGCAGATCGCTAGCTCCTATTCACGGGCACAACGCACAACAGTCGACCACGCCACGGTTTTGTTAACATTTTACCGTCTAATGTTGAACAAAAAGTAGTGTCTAGTAAATCTTGAAATATACCAGTGTGTTTTGCGTTTAGTACGTGTAACATAAAGTGCTTTGGCTGGTATGGCGGTCGTACTCGTAAAAAAAACTGTCTGAGTAAAACAAAAACTATGGAACGGGTTGCGCGTTTTCGGGAAACCCGCGCCGCGGCTACAGCGGAGCGGCATCGAGAGTTTACGGAACTGGTTTGCATAAAGACAAATATTTGCGAAACGTGTCATACGAGGGTCGGAGGAGGCGCACCTCGCACGGACACTGTGTCCAGCGGCACGCCCAGCTCGTGCGCGCACACCTGCGCCGCCTTGGTGTTGATGCCCTGCCCCATCTCGATGCCGGCGTGCGCCAGCGCCACCGAGCCGTCGCCGTGGTACGCGGCCACCACCACGTTGAAGGGGCCCGCGGCGTCGACGGGGTACCACATGAGGGTGGCCTTCAGGGCGCGCTTCCTCCAGGCGTTGTCGGCGTTGAACCGGTCGACGGCCAGCAGCCGCCGGTCGAAGTCGCAGTCCCGCCGGAACGCGGCGACGACGTCGCGCATGTCGTCGTGCGCCGGCGCCAGGTTCGCCAGGCGCACCTCGAACGGGTCCCGGCCGGTGGCGAGGGCGATCCGCTCCATGATGTGCTCCATCAGCGCCGTCCCCTCCGCGGTCCCTGGAAGGCGGGGCGACATGCCGCATGCCGTTGGCGCCCTCCGACGCGGCGGGGCCGGCGGGGCGCGAGCGTACCCGGCGCGCGGCACCACGTGTTGGACGGCTTGTCGGTGCGCACGCTGTACCCCTTCAGCTGGAAGGTGTCGCTGGCGTACAGGCTCCTCAGCACGACGATCATCTTCACGGCGCCGACGGGCGACTCGTTGAAGCTGCAGCCGCAGTCGCAGTAGTACTCCACGTCCAGGCGCTGCAGGCGGCCGGCGGCGTCGGCGCCCAGCGAGTAGGTCGCCTCGAACTCGCCGCGCTTGCCCAGCGCCCGCAGCCCGTCCCGCAGCGGCAGCGCCAGGCGCGCGGGCCGGCCCAGGCGCGCCGCCGCCAGCGCGCAGGCGCAGGCCGCCAGCGCCGAGCGCGACGCCTTCCCGCCGTAGGCGCCGCCCACGTGGCGCGTCTCCACCTGCACGTCGGCGGCGCGCAGGCGCAGCACGCCCGCCACGGCCTGCTGCACGCGGTCGGGCCACTGCGTGGCGCTGCGCAGGCGCAGGCCGCGCTCCGTGGGCTCGCAGTGGCAGCTCTGCGTCTCCAGCGAGTAGTGGTACTGCGCGCCCATGTTGAACGAGCCGGCGAGCTCGTGCCGCACGTCGAGGCCGCGCCGCTGGCGCTGCACCGTCACGTCCAGCCGCACCTGCGGGCCGAGGTTCGCGTCCGAAACTCGGAGCCGCCCTCGCGCCTTTCGCGATATGCTCTTCCTCCGTTTTATCGGAAACTCCCGCTTGCTCCGAAACTGCCGTCTCGAAATTATTCCGGCCTTCCGGTACCCCGAACGTTTCTCTCTGACTTAGTTTAAAGTGCGCAATGTAAACATAGAACGACATGTACGCACAAGACGGCTGCAATATTTTCTGTTAAAACGTATTATAATTGTTCAACTTTGAACATCATGTATTTAACAACAAAACGCAAGATCATAACATACATTTAAACGGTCACAAAAAATGGCCTCATCATTAGGCAACAAGCGCAACATAGTAACATAATTAACTACATAACAGAAAAGAGCTTCGTCAATAACCACTTTTATAACATATTTTGCTCGTAACAGTGGCTGAAATCACACCAATTTCAATATCGTAATGCATTTCATTACGCACTTGTGCGTTATTGTAATGTAAAACGCACAAGTGCGTTATTGTAATGTAAAACGCACGAGTTTTTTTTTAATAAAGTAACATGCACGGTTTTTTAAGATGCTCCGTCTAAAAATGAACGATACTTTTTTAAATCTTTGCAAAGAGTTTTTATGTGAGAAAAGTGGTCAATATTTTATGAATAAAATTAACTTTGGGAGATAAAATATAGTAAATAAAACATTTACAGTCAATTCGGGTAACTTTGAACATTTTTTGCGTTTTTCTAATAATTTCAAATTTAATTATGTTTCTTAACAATTACTTTATTAACTGAATAGTGTTCTTTTAAGCCCTTTTTTCGTTCTTATAGAAGGAATTTAGTAATTATTCAACAAAACTGTTCTAGATTTGCTCCAAAAGTCACATTCAAAGTTGCCTTGAATTTTGGGTAACTTTGAATAAGATTAGCCTTCGATATGGAAACCGTATATTTTCTAGATATTTTACAATTTGTGTAAGATTATACGACATAATCATATTTTTTAGATGTGAATCTGTCCAAATATTCCTGACAGTGCGTTCAAAAACGACATTTGACTTGGTATTGCCATACTAAAACGAGACGAACTAATTGAGTTGCAATGAAAAACTTGTTTTTTTTTAGATTTTTTAATTAATGCGAATAAAAATGAAAATTTTCTGTTTAATAATAAATTCTACGCTTATTTAGCTATCAAATGAGATCAAAATGAATCACCTATAACAATTATTTTAGGCAAAGTAAATACATAACAAAAATCTATTCACCCCACTCCTTTGAATAAAATGTCGTCATCAATATAAATACGGCCGCCTTTTCTAGATAGCTGTTGCTCTTTTATAATATTCACAATATCGGCTTTATTAACTTGACATGTCTCAACGTTAGAGGGCCAAGACCAACCTCCTAAAAAGCATTTTTGGAGCACTGAGACAGTAATTTCCAAAGGAGGAACTTTTAGAACTCTCCCTGGAAACAGACTACCCTCTTCTCTAAAAACACAGTGAAACACATTCAAAGTTACCCAAATTTCTCTGTTTGGTAACGTCGTCAAAATCTAATTCGTTTTACGCGTAAATACAAAACCAAATTAAATTATTCTTTAAAAAAGCGATATATAAACCTCTACTTAAGTGTGGAAACCAAAACTTACCAGTCAATATTCAGATTTATATATTTAATTCCGATTATAAAACTGAGCAACAAATCACACGAAACTACTTTCGCCAAGAAAAAACCGCGAATGTTTAAAAAAATACAATTTAACATTACTTTTCTTTTCATAACTTTCGTTTAACAATTTTGTTCCGATTTGAACAGTTTCAATACTAAAAATAAAAGATAGCCCCATACATAAAGTAAATTTTTAAATCTTTTTTAACACCCTTGCTCGTAAAGCTGATGTAAAACCGGTTTTAAATATGTAAAGCGGGTCATAAAAAGCGCGTGTGTTACCAAAGCAAATAGTTAAGTTATAGTCCATACAAATT